CCTTGGAGTAATAGCAGTGAAGATTGGGGTACAGTCCCAACTGGACAGACAAGATTGAGAGGGCAGAGACAGAAATTGGGCTTGGGTGGCTGGCACACACTGAGTCTGGGCCATGGGTCAGGGACAGAGAAATGGTGCAAAAAACCACAGTGCTCCAATGACCACCAGCAAGGGACAAAGAATTCTGCACATGCAGGGATGCATCTACCCCATATCCCTCTTGCCCACCCAGCAGTAAAATCCTCACTCTGCAGATGGTGAAAGAATTCGCATCAATGATGTTTCTCTTTCTCTCTCTCTCTCTCTCCCTCCCTCTTAAAAAAAAATAAAAGGACAATAACCACTGTAATTTGGAAATAAACTCACAGCATAAAAAGGGATTATTTTTGTGACAACAAAAACATAAAAGTGAAGGCGGTAAAGGGTTGAATTTGCACAGGTGAATGGAGATAAGAAAAATAAGCTACTGTGTATATGAAACTTTCTTTTGCATAAATCTAACAGTAACCACAAAAACATAGAGAACTGAAACACATAACAAAAAAAGAGTGGAGAAAAATCATAGAATACCACCAAACTAACATAACAGACAGAAACACAGGGGAAAAGAAACAATGAGACTGAGAGTTACCAGAAAACAAAAGATAAAATAGCTACAGGAAATCCTCATATATCAACAATCACTCTAAATGTAAATTAGCTGAACTCACCAATTAAAAGGCATACAGTAGTGGGTTGGATCAAAAAACAAAACCCAACTATATGCTGCCTCAGGAGACACATCTCAGCTGCAAGGGCAAATACAGACTCAAAGTGACGGGGTGGAAAATGATACTCCATGTAAATGGCATTCAGAGAAAAGTGGGTGTAGCTGTACTTATATCTGACCAAATAGATTTCAAGATAAAATAGGTAAGAAGATACAAAGATGGACATTTAATAATGGCAAAGGGGACAATACATCAAGAAGACATAACACATAATATATATGCACCCAACCTGAAAGCACCAGAATATATAAACCAACTACTAACAGAACTAAAGGGAGACACTGATGGAAACACAATGATAGTAAGGGGCCTAAATACCCTATTGACAGCTACGGATAGATCATCCAAACAGAAAATCAATAAGGAAATATCCACCTTAAATGACACATCAGACCAAATGGACACAATTGATATTTACAGAGCTTTTCATCCCAGAACACAGAATATACATTCTCTAACACACATAGAACATTATCAAAGATAGACTATATGTTGGGATCCAACACTAGCCTCAACACATTTAAGAAAATTGAAATCAGCCCTGGCTGGTTTGGCTCAGCGGTTAGAGCATCACCCCGGGTTCGGTTTCCGCTAAGGGCATGTACCTCTGTTGCAGTTTGTCCCCAGCTCTGGTTGGGGTTGTGTGGGTGACAACCAGTCGATGTGTCTCTCTCACATTGATGTTTCTCTCTCTCTCTTCCCCCTTCTCTCCCTCCCGCTCTATCTGAAGATAAATGCAAAAATGTCCTCCAGTGAGGATAAAAAAAAAAAGAAATTTGAAATTATACCAAGCACAATCTCTAACTACAATGCTTTGCAATTAAAAATCAACTGTAAAAAGAAAGCATAAGTGTAGATAAAACAACATGCTATTAAACAATGACTGGGTCAAAGAAAAAATAAAAAAAGAGCAAAAGATACAGACACATATGAGAATGATAATATGACTAATCAAAGTTTTGTAGACACAGCCTGGCTGATGTGGCTCAGCTGTTAGAGCATCGACCTGTGCACCGAAAGGTTGCAGGTTTGAATGCCAGTGAAAGGCATGTACCTGGGTTGCAGGTCAGATCCCTGGCCCTGGTCAGGGTTGTGCAAGAGGAAATTAATCAGTGTGTCTCTATTTCTCTCACTCTCACTTGTTGGCTCTCTTCCTCTCTATCTAAAAAAAATCAATGGAAAAATATCTTCAGGTGAGGATTAACAACAACAAAAAAATTGCGGAGATACAGCAAAAGTAGTAACAAGAGGAAAGTTTATATTTACAGGTCTACCTCAAGACACAAGAAAAATCTCATAAATAATCTAACATTTTACCTCAAAGAATTAAAAAAAGAACAAAGTCTAAAGTCAGTAAAAGAAAGGAAATAATAAAAATGAGAGTAAAATTAAATTAAATAGAGAACAAAAAGACAACAGAAAAATTAATGGAACAAAGAGCTGGTTCTTTGAAGATTAATAAAATTGACAAACCTCTGGCTAGATTCACTAAGGAAAAAAGAGAAATGACTCAAACTGAATCAGAAATGAAAGAAAAGAAGTTTTAACAGACAACAAAAATACAAAAGACTATATAAGAATACTATGAAAGGCTATATGCCACCAAATGCAATAACCTAGAAGAAATGGACAAGTTCTTAGAAGTACACATATAACCTTCCTAGACTGAATTATGAAGAACTGGAAAATCTAAATAGACTGATCAACATAAGAAAATTCAGAAACCTAAAACTGTCCCAAAAAGTAAAAGTCCAGGACCAGATAGATAACTTCACTAACGAAAATTTAATACCTATGCTTCTCAAACTCTTTAAAACAACTGAATAGACAATACTTCCTAACTCATTCTATGAAGCCAGAATTACCCTGATACCAAAACCTGGCAAGAACAACACACACAAAAAGAAATTACAGACCAATATCTCTTATAAATATAGGTGCAAAAATTCAACAAAATTATCAGCAAACCAGATTCAGTAATATATGAAAAAAATAATACATCACAATCAACCCAGGGGCACAAGGATGGTTCAACATACACAAATTGATCAATGTGATACACCACATTAATACAATAAAATATAAAAATTATAAGATAATATCAATAGATGCAAAAAAAAAAAACATTTTACAAGATACAACATCCCTTTATGATGAAAATACTCAATAAAATGGGTATAGAAACATGCCTCAACATAATAAAAGCTATAAATGATAAATCCACAACTAAAATTATACTCAATGGGAAAAACTGAAAGCTTCTCCTCTAAGATCAGAAAGTCCTAGCCACAGCAATCAGACAAGAAAAAGAAATAAAAGGTATCCAAATTGAAAAGGAGAAAGTAAAACACTATTTGCAGATGACATGATGCTTTGTACAGAAAACCCAAAAGACTCCACCAAAAAAACTATTAGAATTAATAAGTAAATTCAGTAAAGTTGAAGGATAGATAATCAATATACATAAATCTATTGCATCGCTACATCAGTAACAAAAGATCAGGAGAAATTAAGAAAATAATCCCATTTATAATTGCATCAATAGCATAAAATACTAGAAATAAATTTAACCTAAGAGGTGAAAGACCTGTACTCTGAAAACCATTAGACACTAAAGAAAGAAATTGAAGATACAAACAAATGAAAGGATATACTATGCCTACAGATTAGAAAGATTAATATTGCTAAAATGTCCTTACTAGCTAAAGCAATATATAAGGGTTCAATGTAATCCCTGTTAAAACATCTACAGCATGCTTCTCAGAACCAGAACAACTAATCCTAAAATTTATAAGAAACCAAAAAAGATCCAGAATAGGCAAAGAAACCTTGAGAAAGAATAAAGAGGGGGTGGGTATCATACACCCTGATTTTAACCTATACTACAAAGCTACAATAATCAAAACAGTATGGTACTGGCATAAAAACAGATATATAGCTCAATGGAATACAACAGGGAGCCCAGAAATAAATCCTCACTTATATGGTCTACTAATCTACAACAAAGGAAACAATATACAATGAGGGTAAAGATAGTCTCTTCATAAGTGGTGGTGGAAAAACTGGACAAATAATACAAAAAAATGAAGTTGGACCAACTTTCTTACACCATATACAAAAATAAACTCAAAATGGATTAAAGACTTAAATGTAAGATCTGAAACCATAAAACTCCTAGAAGAAAACATAGGCAATAAACTCTTTGACGTTGGTCTTAGCAATACCTTTTTGGATATGTCTCCTTGTGAAAGGTAAACAAAAGAAAAAAATAAACAAATGGGGCTACATTAAACTAAAAAGTTTTTGCACAGTGAAGAAAACCATCAACAAAATGAAAAGACAACCTACTGAATGGGAGAAGGTAATTCACACATGATACATCTAATAAGGGGTTAATTTCCAAAATATATAAGGAACTCATACAACTAAATGCCAAAACCCTCAAATAATCCAATTAAATTAGGCAGTGGAACAAATAGACATTTCTCCAAAGAGGACATACAGATGGCCCATAGACATATGAAAAGATGCTCAGAATCACTAATCATCAGGGAAATGCAAATCAAAACCACAATGAGATATTATCTCATACCAGTTAGAATGGCTATCATCAAAATATCAAATAAAGAGGATGAGGAGAAAAGGAAACCCTTGTACACTGTTGGTGGGATTGTAAATTAGTGCACCTACTATGGAAAACTGTATGGAGATTCTTCAAAAAATTAAAAATACAGCCATATGACCCAGCAATCCATTTCTGAGTATTTATCCGAATAAAATAAAAACACTACTTAAAAAATACATATACACCCCTATGTCCGTTGCAGCATTAATTACAATACCCAAGATATGAGCAACCTAGATGTCCACTAATAGATAAAGGGATAAGGAAGTGGCACATACACACAATGGAACATTATGCAGCAATAATAAAGAACAAAATCTTGCCATTTGCAACAACATGGATGGACCTACATGGTATTATGCTAAGAAAAATAAGTCACACAGAGAAATATAAATAGTATTTGATTTCACTTACATGTGAAATCTAAAAAACCAAAACAAATGAATAAACAAAACAAAATAGGCCTATAAATATAGAAAACAAGCTGATGGTTACCAAAGGGGAGGTGGTGAGGGGATAGATTAAAAAAAATGGGAAAAAAACAATATTTGGAGGTTCCTGTTGAATGAGATTTTCTCTATATTACACATTCAAAAAGTATATATTTTTATCAGAATATTTTATTTTAAGAGTTAAAATGTTTTTCCAAAAAGTAAATACAATATAATTACTTCCCTGAGTATAAAGAACCCTACAATAAAAGACAATTACAAAATTAAGCAATTAGAGGTACATATTTTCTGCATTCAATTATACTTACTATATTACAAATTCATTCTTAAAAACCTCATATATTTTGGAACTTTAGTTAATGTTTAAAAAAAACACAACCCAGTTCATTTTGTATCTGTAATGTTAAGGTATGTCTGATCTGTCTTTATCAAATTCCAGAGCAATCTTTAAAGCAGTGCTATTGAGTCCAACAGACTGCATGTTACATATGATAGAAACAACTATTCCTCTTGGAGGAACCTTGTTATATACAGATTCTGCATCCAGTTCTTCAGGAAGGATCAGCAGGACACTACTGGCACCTACTGCACCTCCAGTATGTGAGGCATAGTGCCGCTGCTTCCTACAAGAACCATATGTTTGCTTCTTTTCCACGACACCCCATGCCATTGCATATTTACCCTCTTTATCCCATGACATCTCTGTGTTAGGGACTGGCGTCCAAATCATAACCATTGTTTCTGGTTTGAGATATCCAGGCAAAAGATTTTCATTTGAGTTCTTAAACAGCCCGACTTGGTAACCATACAGCATTGCATTCCCAAATTTCAGAAGGTCACCCACTGTAGACAGAAATCCACCACCAGCCCATTTATAGGAGTTATCCACGTAAGGTGTGTTGACAAGACGTCTCTTTTTATTGTAAACATAAAATCTAAAATAAAATAAGAATGGTCATTAAAAATTTAATAGTTTATTGACTTTACACATGAAAACAAATAGGAAAATGTACATGAGACAGATTGCATTTCGAAGTAGTAATCATACATTCTCAGGGACTAACCATTAACTTTTACTATGATTCAGATCTTAATGAAACACAAATAACTGTGTAAGCTAGTCTAATTACCTTGTAAATTAAAGCATCGAAAGTGGGTTGTTTTATCTATTGGTATGACTTGCCCATGCTGAGTGTATCAAACATTTAATAAACTGCAAACATTTAATGATTAAAATTACACATGATATATTTGTGTCAGATGCAGAAACACTTATGGTTTGGTAGAGAGTCCTTAGACTTAATGAATTATGTGCCACATGTAAATTTTATAAGTAAAAGTTTACATATCAAGATGTTTAGAAATAAAGTTAATATCTGTAAGGAAATTAGGTCTCTTGGCTAAAAATGCCACATATAATGATGTGATGTGGTACTTTCTTGGTGTATTAGGAGAAGCTGGAGTTAGCAAACCTCAATTTGAACCCCTAATCTCACCCTTTCTAGCTATGCTTATTTTATTTGATTAAAAAACACATAAAGTTCTTACTATATGCCAAGCATTGTTCTAAGAACTACATAAATATGAACTAATTTATTCTTGTAAAAATATTAGGAGATAGATACTATTATAATCCTTATTTTATAGATGAGGAAACTGAGACATGGAGGATATAAATAACAGATCCACATTCACACAGCGTAAGTGGCAGAGTATGGATTCAAAGCCAGGCAGTCTGGCATGCCTATGCTATGTTGCCTCTGTGCTTCAGTATCCTATCTTGTAAATTGAGGACAAAAAATCTATTTTGCAGAGTTAGAAATATATGTATATAGCACTCTGCATATTTCTGGCAGACACTTAATACATGATAGCTGTTATTTACTCATGCATTCAACAACTATTGATGGAGTACTCACTCCGTGCCAGGCACCATTTGGATGCTGGGATAAAGTGTTAAACAAAAGAAACAGTGTCTGACCTCATGAGGTTTCAATTCTAATGTGAGAAGACTGTACCATCAATAATAGGCAAATAAAATGAAGTCACAAAATAAGCAAAAAATGAAACTTGGCTCAGGAGAATCCTTTCTTTCACAATTCATAATAAAATGACGCTCTTAGGTTTTTAGTTTGCTGACTGTCTTAGCTCCAGTGATCTTCATTTTCATTCTACTTTGTTCAGAGCACTATCACACCTGAATCTCACCATCACTTTAAACTGTTTTATCTCTAAGGTCTCAAACTAAAAAACTTCTTCCTATGACTTCTGATTCTTCCAGCTCTCCAACTGAAACTGCTCTCTGCCCTCACTCTGACATTCCATCTATTCTCCTTGATGTTGCACAGTTTCCCCAGGTCTTTTAGTGCCTACTGATTTCACTTGCTTTTCTGTTCTAGCCTGAACTAAATCATCAGCCATTTCGACTACTTTAGCTGTCATCTCACTAGCACCTTTATGTTCCTCACTTTTCTGACCAATCCTGAATACATACAGGTACCCCTTTCCTTGGTTTCATTATCTGCAAAGAAAGGCTGTAGAAATTCATATAACAAAGGTGACTGATATAAATTCATACTCTTGCTAAGGGTCTTCACTGCTGTTACCAAATATTTTCATTCTTTTCCTGGTTATTCCCTGGTATCTCTTCCACTTTCAGCCCTCTACTCTACCTCAGGCCCAATCAGCAGATAACTAGATCTTTTACGTATTTTACTAAGAAGATTGAGGCCATGCAAACTGAGATAGGAAATCCTATCTTTATCTCAAAAGGTATTTACATAATCATCCATTGTTTTTTTCCTTCTATCTAGTCACTTAAGAAATTTTCTTGTTTTTAATGACTAATTCCACAACCTACATCTTTGCCTCTACAACTTTGCTCCACCAGTTACACTTCCGAGACTATTTATCTCCTTGTAGTTCATTCTCCATGCAGAAGCCAGAGATTGTGTCTCCTCCTTCCCCCACCCACCTGAAACCCTGCAATTGTTACCACTGAAATGATAATAAAACCCAAATTTCTTGTCATGGCCTAGGCAGTACCAACCCCATGTACAAAAATTGTGGAGGCATTTCTTTTGCAGTTGTCACAATTATTAGAGGGCTCTTACTGACTTTTAGTAGCTAGGGGCCCAAGGTTCCTAAGTGTTCTGTGATGTATGGAAAAGTCCCCCACAACAGTCCATTCTCCCATATGCAGCAAGACCTTCAACTATCACACCAGATATTCATGTACATAAAAAAATCTTTTCTTTAATGAGTGGGATAATAAAAAGCTAGAAAAATTCCCTGGCAAGTGGAATGGGGAAACTGAGACAGATAGATGATTCAAACTGACCTCATTCAGTATCCTGACTCACCTACCTCCTCCTCCTTTGCATGACCACTCCCTTAAGCATTAAGCCTTCAGGACAATAAGGTTCTGATCAGCATCAAATAATCTTAGGAAAAAAGCAAATTTTAGGAATACAGAGACAGAGTTTTGGTCAAACTAGAGATAACATCTAGGCCTCAGTTGTGTTTCAGCTCTAGGCCCAGAAAAGCAGCAAAACCAGAGGAAGTGATGCCATAGCTGGCATTGGGAGCAGATGCAATGACAATGACTCTCTACCCTAGTGCAGGCCAATCAGTAGAGATCATGACCCTGAAAGGACACACCTGGAAGGCTGATGAATATTCTATTGAGATCCTTCCCTGAAACCTCCCCTAAAATTCCTACCTTTAGAGAACAGATAAAAACTCTTAAGACAAAAGACCCCAGTGCACGCTTTCCCTGGAGCACGCCGTGCCTTTCCCTCTTCTTCCCTCAGATGCATATCTGTATCTTTGCTTTCTTTCTCCTAAACGCTAAAGCAGCGGTTCTCAACCTATGGGTTGCAACCTCTTTGGGGGTCAAACAACCCTTTCACAGGGGTCGCCTAAGACATAACAGTAGCAAAATTAGAGTTATGAAGTAGCAACAAAAATAAGTTTATGGTTGGGGGTCACCACAACATGAGGAACTGTATTAAAGGGTTGTGGCATTAGGAAGGTTGAGAACCACTGTTCTAAAGGATCACAGGTAACTTACAACCAGGGAAGTAGCAGGCGGTGGCACCTTGTCCAGGGCTAAGCCCCTGAACTTGTTTCCAAGGACCCTTCATCTGCCTCTGTAACTTGTTTTCTGAGTCCATGCAGCCCAGTTGGCTCACTTCTTCTGCCTTTGTGACTTTCTTTTTAAAAGACCAAGGCAGCATTCTGAGCAGTCTGCTCAATTCTTCTCACTGAGTATACTTTTGCTTTGCTTGCTAAATAAACTTTCCTTTGTGCTGGAGTTCTTGGCTCCTAATTCTTTTTTTTTTTTTTTCTGAACTCAAGAACCGAGAGCCAACATGGCCACCAACTTAACCACTATACAAATTGAAGGAAGACTGTGTTTTATTTTGCGCAAAACTTTAGCCAGAGTTGGCCACCAAGGGCATGAGTTGAAGCACGAATACAATATACCTCTGTTGGTTTGCTTTTACAGTTGTCACATTTATAATGCTTTTCTGTATTAAGCTGCATCTGATTTTATTATGTCTTCTAATGTTGTCATAAGTAAACTTTAACATACTGAAATATCTATTATTTATTATAAATTCTACTTCTTTTTTCTTCTTTATATTCTAGAGTATTGAGTGTAGGTATATGGTCTTTGCCTTTCATTTTAGTATATTAAGACATAAAATATTTGTTAAATTAAGGGGCAGTGCGTCTAACAGCATTGAAACTCAATATCCAAAATGGTTTATACTCTGCTTACCTCTTTGATCTCATCATACTACCGTGCTTTGTTTCTTTCATGCCAGATTTCTGTATTTGCAACAAAGCAGTCTAGCTTTCCTTATTATTCATGTCTCAGCTTTACTAACATGGCCTCAAAACCATGTATTTGAAATAAATCCCACCCCCATCCTCTTCTTGTTACTCTATATCCCATTGCCTTGTTTTATTTTCTTCATCTGAATTCAATATCTGAATTTCTTATTTAGATTATTTGCATGTCTATCTGGCTCTTCCCACAGAATATAAATTTCATAAGGGCAGGAACCTTATCTACCTTGTGCAGTGATGATTCCCCTATCAAGAATAGTACTTGTCGCCCTGGCCGGTTTGGCTCAGTGGTTAGAGCATCGGCCTACGGTCCGGAGAGACCCGGGTTCGGTTCCCACTAAGGGCGCGTACCTCGGTTGCAGTTTGTCCCCGGCCCTGGCTGGTCGTGCGGGTGGCAGCCACTCGATGTGTCCCTTTCACGTCGATGTTTCTCTCTCTCTCTCCCCCTCCCACTCTATCTGAACAAAAAATGGAAAAAATGTCCTCGGGTGAGGATTAAAAAAAAAGAATAGTACTTGTCATCCAGTAAGTGTTCATTAAACATGTTGAATAAATAAAAGCACCAATTTGTTAGTAAACTATTTTAATGAATATGCCTTGCAAGGTACTGGAGACACAAGTAAAACCACATATTATGGTTGCTCTCAGGGGGTTAACAGTCTTGTTGGAAAGTTCTTAAATTTCAAAGCACCACATGAATCACCTGGGGATTTTGTTAAAACGCAGCTTTTGCTTCAGTGGGTCAGGGGAGGGACCTGAAATCCTGCAAGTCTGACAAGCTCCCAGGTGATGCCGATATTGCTGGCCCTTGCACCACACTTTTGAGTAACAGGTTGCAGAATGACTAGCTAAGTTGGATATGAGAAATCCTGAGCACTAGTGAGAGGAAGTCTCACTAGATGGCTGCTCAGAGGCCAGTACGGGGAGAAAAGTAGTCCAGTTTGGCTGAAGCAGAGAGCTTGAGGGGATAACGGAAAAAGAGGTGATACTAGAGTAGACATGGGACAGGTCACAAAGGACTTTCTGTACCATGCTAGGAACTTTGACTCCTTCACCTTAGTTCACAAAATGCTATAGTTTACTAGATCCTAAGGAAAAAAACAACTTTTACCTTTTTATTCTTGTTACATCTTCCAGTTACCAGTCCTTTCTCTCTCCTCATATACTACCAAACTACATAAAACGACCCACGCCTGCTGTTTCCATGCATTCACTCTCTGTATTCATTTAATTCCTTAAAATCTAGCTGCCGTTCATTCCATCACAACCAAACCGCTCTCTTTATGGGTTGTCAGAGATCTTCCAATTCCCTGTGTGGAGTCCTCATCCTGTTTGCCCCGTGCAGCACCATTAACCAGCACCCTGACACTCCCCTCAGGAAATTCTGCTGAGCTCTCTCTTCTACTTCTTCATCCTATGATTCCCTATACTCCTCCAATCACTTCCCATGTCTTTTCTTCTCCAGAGGTAACTATAAATCTGCACCTGTACCACAACCCCTTTTCTAAATTTACAACAGAATTTTCTATTAGCATTAATAATTCTCAAATTTGGTTTTGGAGAAGGGCAGGAAAGTTATCAGAATCATCTCTGGACCTCCTACCTCCCAAAATTATATGCTCCCTTCAAAATTCTTAGCTTTGAAGGGACTGGGGGCATGGTTTGAAAAGTAACTTCTCTTTCTTCCTTCAAGATTCTTATATGTTCCCTAAAAGCCCAAGTCATAATATTGGGTGAGGTAGGGATGACCATAGGTATGTGCTTTGAAGATTTAAAAAAGTCTACAGCCCTGGCCGGTTTGGCTTAGTGGTTGGAGCATCAGCCCGTGGACAGAAGATTCTTGCATTTGATTCTGGTCAAGGGCATGTGCCTCGGTTGCAGTTTGGTCCCCGACTCTGGTCAGGGTCGGGCGGGAGGCAACCGGTCCGTGTCTCTCTCTCACACTGATGTTTCTCTACCTCCTACTCTATCTGAAGATAAATGGAAGAAAGATATCCTCGGGTGAGGATTAAAAAAAAAAAGTCTACAGAGAATCTTAATATGCTCTCTTGAGAACCAATGACTTGATATGTGGTCTTCTCATGTCTCAAAATGAACATGATTAAAACTAAATTAATCTCTTTCAAATCTCATATTTTTCCTCTCCATTAAAATCTTGGTTGACTCTCTTTGTCTTCAACTCTTATATCCAGTAAGATTCTAAATCCTATAGTCAATCTCTGCTTTGTGTCTTACCCTTTCTTACTTCCATTCCTATGGCTACTCCCATATTTCAGGTCCTAATTACTTTCTGTGTAAACACTGATTACACTTGGTATTTCAAGCCAATCAAGTCTAAAAGAAGCCAAATAATAATACATTTTTCTAATTGAGAAACATAGTTCTTTAGAGTTAACTCCAAGTTTGTAAACTAGGAGAGAACAACCAGTATATTTTGGCTAATAATCAGCTTTGTGTAAGCATTTCAAACCACTTATATAAAGGCTGGAAATTAGAACTCCTCAGTCATTTCTCCTTTAAAATACAAAACGATGGAGAATTCTAGACTTTAATACCTTGATTCCTTTCCACAGAGGACAAATTAATAGCTTTTAATAAAAAATGTGTTCAACTGAAAAATAACTTTATTTCAAATTCTTAAGGAATTTCTGCTCTAAAAAGAACAGGATATAGACACAAGTTCTTTAGTACATTACTGGGACATCTTTGTAACTGAGTAACTGATGGAATGATGCCAGATGACAAGCAGCCTCTTTCTATTTAAGAATCTCTAGATTCTGCATAAGAACATTTACCACAGAAATCTACACCTACAAACTTAGAAATTAAAAATACTTTTATTTTTAAAATGCTTTTTAAATGCCTTTAGAAACTATTATGTACTACTTTGTTATGAGAAGTTAAAAATCCCACAGAACTTAAAATGCATATTATAAAAACCAATCCCTCTTTAACACTCCGTATTAACATGTGGATTGAATCTATTACTATAGTCTGTCAACTAAAGGCATAAGAAACAAGACTTAATTTTAGAAGATAATCTAGAAAATAAAGATAATAAATAATAATTAAAAAGGTAATAACAGAAGGTAAAGGCCATATCTATACTGTCAAAATAGAGCAAGCACTTCATAAAACATTCATTTTATTTGGTTTTGGTCCCGTCCGATTACAAAAGAGATTTTGTTGCAAGTATTGTGCCAAACACATAGAAAATATAATGAAGTCTAATAATAAGCTAATGCATTGACTAAGGATTCTCATAACAACAAACTGAGTGTCTTTCAGTGGCAAGAACATTCACTCCACTTCCTTGTAGGTATTTGTTTAAAGGGTTAGTTTATTTGCCTATAGAGAATATACTTGTTACACAGAGTCAATATATCTACTTGCATAAACAGAATCGATATTCCTATTCTTCCATTAAAAAACAAATAAATAAACAGTTTTATTCAGGAAAGCAATGTACCCAGAGAAATCTAATTTCTCTGCATTCTTTACAGCTAAGTGTGGGCTGTGGCTAAAATTCTGGTGTAAGTAGTGTTTTGGGGTGGGATTCTGGGGAAATACCTAACAGATGTCAGACACAAGGAAGCACTATTTTAAACACACAAATGTAAACACAGAGATCTACTAAAAGGACTAAAAAGATTTGATCAGAATAGCATAAACATATTTACTTTCTGATTATGACCAAGGAATCGGTAGACTAAATAACAAAGCTAGAAACTTTTGCTGGAAATTTTATTTCCTGGAAAATGGTACCATAAAACAAATGAATAGCAATATGCATTTACTAAGTTTACTTTAAGAGTTTTTTTTTTTTTAAAAATACTATGTTGAAATGATTCCTTTTACTCCCTGAGCTCTCCAAATAAAAGGTCACTTCAAGCTATTTTCAAATAATTATTACCAAAAAAAGCAAGCAAGCCCTGGTCAGTGTAGTTCAGTTGGCTGAAGCACCATCCTGTGCTCTGAAAGGTTGTGGGTTCAATTCCTGGTAGGGGTGAGTAGGGGAGGCAACCAATCGATGTTCCTCTCTTTCTTTTTCTTTCTCTTTCTCTCTCTCTCTCTCCTTCCCCTCTATCTAAAATCAGTCAAATGTGTCCTCCAGTTAGGATTAAAAAAAAAAAAAAAAGAATTAGAGTTGACTTTTATAGGCCCAAGTAGACAATGTATCAATTAAAATAGGAACATTTTCCTAGGTAACAATCTTTCTATCCTATTTTATTTCAGCAGCCCATTTAATCTAACTAGAATAAATCAAGTATCCCTTTAGCACCACTGGGTACTACCAAAATCTGAAGAGAAAAACCACAGCAGGTAGGAACCTTTTATAATATAAACGGAAATCCACTGCCTTTTTTCAAAGAATGGGGGATAAAATAACATTAACTTTTCATCGTATGCCACAGTTTGATTTTTATACAGGTCATGAATTAATCACTCATTAAGAAAACAGCAAATGAATCATAGCCTGAAGTCTGTATATTCATAGAGCCTTAATTTCCAGTTTAGAAAAGAGGCCCAATGATACATACTCTTCTCTCCCTTATATATAAATCTAGGCATTCATTATCAAACTCCTAGATCTAAATCAAAATAAGGTCATGCATCTGTGCCATCTTTATTAGGAAATCTTTTTTTAGATTCAACCTATGGCATTTGTCAATTTTTCTTATGCATCTCAGTAAAATATAATGTTGGACAAAAAAACAAAATACACTAAGAGTCTAAACTGGTTGAGAACTACAGGCCATTTAAAAAATTGAAATTCATTGCTTGCTGCTAACCCAATTTCTTTTAGATTAAAAAAAAAATCTCTTTCAGGCTGACTAGCAATGCACATTTAATTCCTTTAAATAAGGGGTAACTTTAAAATGGTAATTTAACAAAATACAACAGAATAAACAAAACTAGTGTGGAGATAGGAAGATAAAGCTGAAAAATACCACCATTTCATCTATTTCAAGTACTGTTAAGCTATTTAAAGTATGTACTAATGGAAATAGGCAATGGTTGTTTAAATGTTACCTTTCTAAAAAATCAAATAATTAGAGTAAAATGGAAAAGTCATTAGCTTCAAAATTTTCTCTCATTGCCCCTTTTACAGATTACTACTAAAAATTGTGATACATTTTTCATTTGCTATATTTCAATGAAATGACTTTCAAACTTTTACAGTGAAGAAACCTGGCAGGTACCACCTCAACAAAGCAATTACAATTACCATCATCAATAATGGGACAAATTCACATCACTGAGACAAATGGCAAAATTTGAATAAGGTCTGTAGATTTGATAAAAGCATTGTGTCAATCAATGTTAATTTTCTGAATGTCCTTGTTTTTTGAAAATATACATTTAAGTATTTATTGGTAAAGGAATAGCCTGTCTGCAACTTATTTCCAAATAGTTCAGGAAAAGAAAACCAAAAACAGATAAAGCAAATGTGGTAAAATGATAACATTTGCAGAATCTGGGTGAAGAGTATATGGAAATTCTTTATATTTATAACTTATTCTTATAACTTTAAAAAAGTAAGTTATTCTTATAGCTTTTCTGTAACTATAAAATTTCAAAATAAAAGCTAAGACAATTTACAATAATAATTGTTAATAATTGTAAACAAAAAAAGCATTAGTTAAAAAACATTTAAGAAAAAGAAATGATTGAAGAGCAAATTATCATTGCATCAATGATGGTGCAATTTGGTTTAATTGTTCATGAGCTTAAATTATTATTGCTACCTTTCATCTGAAGATCTTAGGAATATTTTACAAATACTTTATAAATGGAAAAACAGACATGTAGAAAAGCTTCCAAAATGTGGCAAGTTGATTTTGGAAAGGAGATAAAATTTGAGTTTTAACAGGTAACATAGTATTAAGCTGTGATATAGCTAGACACACAAAAAGGTGTTCATTTACCTTGCTCTATTGTAAATCACTGGTTCATTTTCTTCCTGCACAGTTGTCAGCATATCCAAGTCATGGAATATTTTCTGCATATAGTCCAAATATTTATATCCTGAAGCTCTTTCAACTATGGCTGCCAGTAGGGTATAGCCAAAAGTTGAATACAAAAACTGACTACCTTAAGACATCATTGCAAGGAGAAAAAAAAAAAAAGGTTCATTATTATTTAAAAACATGTAAAATATTTTTCCACTGAAAACTGGCATATACCTTAAAACTGGAATATTTTACTTCAGCATTTATAAAACATCATGGATAATATATTAAATTTAGTCAGCTTTGTAATAGTCCTGCTTATTCCATGTCCCTAACACAAGAATAAAATGATCCATACATTTTAATTTTCATATGAATCACTCCGTTCTATGTGAATGAAATAAACAAAAATCCTATAAACTGGCAACAAAATACGAAGAAAAAGAAAAGCAAATTTGGATTCTTGATTCAACTGTCTTGTTCTTAATATACCTATTCCCCATTGTTTAAGAAGGCATAAGTTGTTATACAAGTTATTTTAATAAAACATATATAGATGTTTTATTAAAGAACCTTGTTTCAAATACATATTAAAATGTACATATTCAAATATATGTATTGTTTCTAATATATACCTTTATCTCATTTTGGATTCTGGATATGCAGATTGTATCATCTGTACTAAAAATAGGTGAGAGCCTTATTTTTAAAGACAAAATCCATAATTATATTTCTTTGCCATTATTAATTATACCTATTTAATATCTACTCATGGTAAAAACATCTTTCAATATGAAAATGGAATAAAAGAAAGTAAGCCTATGGTAAGTTTAAACATATAAAGTGGTTTCAGTAGGCATCATACAAAAAAAATACACAGAAACGCCCTGGCTGGTTTGGCTCAGCGGTTAGAGTGTCGGCTTCTGGTCCAGAGACCCAGGTTCGGTTCCCGCTAAGGGGGCATGTACCTTGGTTGCAGTTTGTCCCTGGCTCTGGTTGGTCATGCAGGTGGCCCTGGGTGGCAGCCACTCGATGTGTCCCTTTCACGTCAATGTTTCTCTCTCTCTCTCCCTCTCTCTCCCTCCCACTCTATCTGAACAAAAAATGGAAAAATGTCCTCGGGTGAGGATTAAAAAAACAACAACACAAAAACAATGACAGCTATTTTTATATGTTAGTTTTTTTGGAAATGAATAAGTTGAACACTAATTTCTTTAAGGAATGAAGGCATAAAATAAATTGAGCAATTTAAATTCTAACTAAATACTAAAATATTAGCAATACTTTATCACATCCACTTTAGTCCAGATTTTGTTTGGAGAACTATAATTCCAACATTTTTTCCACAAATATCTTGATATTGAGAATCCACTAAATGACTGGGTAGCCTCCATGAGGCTAAATCTAAACAAGTAGCTGCCTGGATGATAGGGAGGGACTATGGGTTAAGATCTTAACTACTGTTAAGAAATGCAGACAAGCCCTGGCCCGGTTTGGCTCAGCGGTTAGAGCGTCCACCTGTGGTCCAGAGAGGCCCGGGTTCGGTTCCCGCTAAGGGCATGTACCTCGGTTGCAGTTTGTCCCCGGCCCTGGTTGGTCGTGCGGGTGGCAGCCACTTGATGTGTCCCTTTCGCATCGATGTTTTCCTCTCTCTCTCTTCCTCTCTCTCCCTCCCTCTCTGTCTGTACAAAAAATGGAAAAATGTCCTCGGATGAGGATTTAAAAAAAAAAAAAAAAAAGAAATGCAGACAAAAGGCAAGTACTGGACTGACAACAAAATCCTTGCCACAATCATCTACCACATCGAAAGTACTCAGGATGGTATTTTGGATTATCTGAAAATTAACATTTCAATAATGATGAGTTTGTTAAGAGAAATAATTAACACTCACCAGGTTTAAAGAACAAAGGATCATTTTTAAATAATTTTAGGGATTCAATTGAATTTTCAAACTTTTCTTTCAAATATAATTCTCCTTGTTCAAAATCATTTTTTTTCTTGACAGGTTTGGAATTTCGGCCTTTTGCTTCATTATCCTGCTCTATTTTAGCTTTAGCAAAGTCACTCTTTTCATTACTTTTTCCTCCTTTTTCTTTTAATTCTTTTTCTTGGTCGGTTTCCATCATCTCTTTCATCATCTTCAAGGCTTTATAAGCCTTCTCTTCTTTCACCTTTTTCATGTCCTTTTCATAATGACGAATTCCACTTAAATGGGAAATCAATAATCTTGTTGTGACAGAAACCTAATTGTAAAAACATGAAAATTAAGTACATTATTAAACTATAATAAAAAGTTAGTAGCCTCAGAATAATGCCTCAGTTGTATTTTCCATTTTAAATTGCTGTTGGAAAATATGTAACATACAAATCTTTCACTTCAAGTTTCAGAAAATACCCACTCGATTATCAACTGGGTTAAAAAGTATTAACAATAATTAAAAACAAACCAAAGAATCCTATGCAGCCTTTTAAACCATTAAATGTGCCATTTATAAAATGAACTGTGAGTTTCATTACCTTTTCACCTTCATATTCTTTTTCTGGGAATTCAGGAACATAATATTGTACTGGAATATCAAGATCCAGTTTTCCTGCTTCCCATAATTTGGCAAGAGCAACCATGGTAAGGCTTTTGCTGATACTGGCAATTCTCATAACTGTCTCTGGTTTGCATAGTACACGGTTCTCAACATCGGCATAACCTAAACCTTTGGGGAAAAAAAGCAAAAAGTCACCTTTAATAACCATTATGGTCAAAGGAGTCTTGAAACACTGAAATAATACTATCTTAAACTATCCTGTCTATTCACCTAAGGGGAAGATATTCCACTTGTATAAGCTAATGAAATTTAACATGTAAGGGATGAGTGAGCGTCTTAATACCAACAAAAGTAAGTCTAACAATTTAAACTTATAATTAAACAGAATTGTACCTTGTGCACAATAGTAATTTTCCATGTGATTCAAATACTAGTTTTTCTTAATTTATCTAAACAATTTGGTTATTCCACATTTTAAATAAATGACTCCACATTCTTTAAAGAAAATATCATTGTTCTTCTTCAGATTATATTTATTCTTGATTTTTGAGTTTCCACTGAATTCCTAAAATAGCCATCCAATAAAAAAAAGTGAAAAGAGATCCTGCAAATCCAATCTAGCTAACTATCAATGCAATTCAGCTGCAACCAGAAGAAAAACAATGTACTAGCAATTTAAAGCTCTTTCTAGAAAAATTTTTAAGCTTTATTTCATCCTCTGGACAGACTGAAAGTGGAATTCTAAGAGATATAAAGAACTAAGATCTGAAAAGAAAGAAAAGGCGGACAATGATTGTTTTTAAACTGTAATGGGATTATGCAAAATATTTGCATAAAGTCCTCACCGATAAAGCTGACATTTATATAATTTTGGTTATAATATTTTCATAAATTAGGTATATTGATTAGGCTATACTTATACTGGGGGAAGAATTGTTTTTCTTTAAATTCAATTCCCCACTGCTTCCATAGTAAGAGTAAATAAGTACTACAGTACTTTAAATTTCTAAAACATTTTCCAGAAGTATAGTTCCTCAAAACCTAGGACGACCAGGTGGACCAATTTGTGTGGAATGAAGAAAAAAAATCAAGATATAAAATATGATTTGATAACAGTATTAGAAATCTCTCTCCCAAAACTTCTAGGTTTTTGTTTAAAAAAATAGCTGCCACTTCTGCCTACTCAAAGAAAGTAATAAAGTAGAGCATAAACTGGTTAAGGACAGGAAGCGTGTGACTCAACAAATTGTTGATGAATTAAAAAAGAAAAACAAAATTCTGATGTTTTATCTACTCATAAGATTATCTACAAATATGCAGTTAACAGACTGTTCTATACACAACTTTCAGAACAACAAACACAGTCCTTATAGAAACAAGCCATTTTTATATTAGTTACGATTCTATAACTAATTATTATTAAAAATTTTTTTCTTTATTGATTTTTAGAGAGAGAGGAAGGGAGAGGGAGAGATAGAAACATGGACGAGAGAGAACATTGACTGGCCGCCTCCTGTATGACCCCCACTGGGGAACAGGCCCACAACCTGGGCTTGTGCCCTGACCGGGGATCCAACCCACTACCTCTTGGTGCATGGGTCGATGCTCAACCCCTGAGCCACACCAGCTGGGCATAACCAATTATTTATTTAACTTATTTTTTTATTGGTTTTAGAGAGAGGAAATCAATGTGAGAGCGAAACATCATTGGTTGCCTCCCATAGGAGCCCGGAACAGGGATCGAACCTGAAACCTAGGTATGTGCCTTGACCCACAACTTTTGGGGTACGGGATGACGCACCAACTGATCCACCTGGCCAGGGTGAAACAAGCCATTTTTTTTTTTTTATCCTCACCAGAGGACACTTTTGCATGGGAAGGAGAGAGGGAGGCAGAGAGAGAGAGAGAAACATCGATGTGAGAGAGACACATGAGTGGCTGCCATCCACACGACCCCAACCGGGCCGGGGATAAACTGCAACCGAGGTACGTGCCCGGACCGGGAACCCAACCGGGACTCTGGTCCGGGGGCCGGTGCTCTAACCGCTGAGCCAAACCGGCCAGGGCAAAACAAGCCATTTTTAAGACTCCAACTTATCCATTGGTAAATCTTATGGGTAGAAAACTCGATACTTTAGTTTGTTAGACACATTTTCTCTACAACATGGATAGTTTTATGTAAAGTGAACAGCATAGCTTGAGATTCACTCCAAGAAGTAAAACATCAACATTTCATTCAGCAAATGGCACAAAACAAGCTACTAAATAGTACTTTTCTGAGCCTACCTTCTGACCAGATTTCTTTTCCATCCACAGAGACTCCGACCACGATGCCGGGCGCGCCCACCTCATCCTGAGAGCGAGGGGGAAGAGCAGGCGGCTCAGAGCCGGCGGAGGCACCTCGCGGTGCTCCGCGCAGTCGCCGGGCCCCAGGCCCCGCCCCACACGCCCCCGCCTCTGGGCCCCGCCCCACACGCCCCTGCCTCTGGGCCCCGCCCCACACGCCCCTGCCTCTGGGCCCCGCCCCCTCGGCTCGGCCGGGCGCTACCCGCGAGGGGTGTGCCGGGTTGGCACCCAGAATGGGAAGGGGCGGTTCCCAAAGCGGGCGGTGACCTCCTCCCCGATTTGGGCAACCCCCCAAGAGCGTCTGACCGTGGCCTGGCGGTCGGAAAACGGGAAGTCCTTCTTGGAGGCTGGCCGTGGGCATCCCATCGCCCAGGCTGGGGTCCGCTCGGCCCGGGGGGATGACCGAGGGGCCCAGTCCGGGAGGACGCCGGGGTTGGGGCGCGGTTCCCGACCGCCTGCGCCCCTCGCCGCGGTACCTTGATCCTGTGCAGCAGGTCACGGCTGTTGTCAATGGCTCTGGCGTAGCGCCTGGAGGTGGGCGACGTCGGGGTCTGCGGGGACCACGGGGCGAGGGGCTGCTCCGGCGGCGGCGGCTGCTCCGCCTGAGGCGACGCCTCGGGGTCGGGGGCGGCGGGGGGCGGCGCGGGGGCGGCGCCCCTCAGCCCGCCCGCCAGCTTCGCTCCGAGAGCCAGCCCCAGCCCCAGCCCCAGGCCCCCGGCCCAGCCGGCGCCGAGCCGCGGCAGCCCGGCGCGATGGTGGGCTCCGCGCCGCCCGCAGCCCCAGCCCCAGCGCCCCGGGGTCGCGGCCCGGGCCGTCACGGCTGACGGGAGCCGGTACATGGCGGCTTTGGCGACCCGGCAGCCTCGGAGTCGGCTCTGGCGGGCGGGCGGCAGGGGCGCTGGGGAACCGGTGGAAGGGAGGGCCGGGAGTGGAGGGCGGGGACCGCGCGCAGGCCCTAGCAGTCGACGCCCGATGGCCCGCGCGCCGATCGCATCGAGCCTTCCTCCTTTCCCTTTCCCCGGGCCTGGTCTCCTAATGTTTCATCTCGGTCCCTGCCCCAACCCTTCCCCCCTCAGATCAGGGTCACCTCCTCCGAGAAGCCTTCCGAGTCTCTGTTCCCTTGGGGGTTCTCGCCACACCTTGACCGCCAGTGCGCCCCCCTCCTCAATAACACCTAACACTGTTTCACTGAGCTAATGACTAATCTGGTTCCTTAGGAGACTGGACGCTCCCTGGATCCTCAGCCGGAACGGCGCTGGGCATCTCCTTTTCCCTTGGAACCCTCTTTTCTCTCTCTTGCCGGCTCCATTTATTATGTCTCATTTCAGCTCATAAGGCTCTTGTAAAAATCTCCTATTTCCTGAGGTCTAGCTCCACACCACATCAAACATATTAAGTTATATCCAGGCCTTACATTAAATTTTTTGTTGTAAAGAAAGGTTTAAAAATGTTTGCACTTGAAAAATACTAATCCAAAAGTAACTCATAATTTACAGTTAGCTATGATTTCTGGCATCTGTAGATGATCAGTCTTGTGAAATGAGAAATGAAACTTCAAATTGCTACAAAATGTAGAACGTGTATAATCCTATTTGAACAATTAATGACATAATGTTAGTTTTGAAGATAATAAATGTCCACTCCAATTTTATAATTTTCTCTTTACACTTTGGGACACACACACACACACACACGTCTTTTAAAACATGTTTTATTGATTTTTTAGGAAGAGAGAGAAACATTGATGTGAGAGAGATACATCAATCGGCTACCTCTTTCTTACACACTCCCTACTGGGGATTGAGGCCGCAAACTCTGCATGTGCCCTGACTGGGAATGGACGGACCTCTTGATCCATTGGACAATGCTCAATCCACTGAGCCACACCAGCCAAGCAACACACGCACATTTCTGAAAGATTTTTGACAGTTTGTTGGCCTTAGATACTGGGGCAGTATACCCAATATATAAAACGAGCCTGTCTTTTCTTGCAGGTGGAACATATATAAAGTTCATATATAAAGTTGAATTGACAAGGTGTAGTCAGGAGAAAAAGCTATAAACATCTTGAACTGATAATTGTTTACTGGAGAAAAAGGCAATAATGGTAACCACATCTAGTCAGAACATACTGGGGCTAAATGATTACAAGGAGCTGGAGCTGCTCACAAAGCCCACAACCCCCAAAGATCAGGGTATCTTAGGACCCAGAGGATTTGGCAACAGAATTCACAGACGTCTCTGGAGCACCACCTGCAGGTAGAGTGGACAGGTGCATTCTGTCAAGATGGTATTGGAAGTTTCTATCATAGGGGCCCCACTACTCCAAGCACATAACAATGAGAGAGAAGAATATAAAGAGAACACTGGCCAGTTTGGCTCAGCGGTTAGAGCGTCGGCCCGCGGACCAGACAGTCCCAGGTTCCCGCTAAAGGCATGTACCTTGGTTGCAGTTTGTCCCCAGCCCTGTGGCAACCACTCAATGTGTCTCTCTCACATCGATGTTTCTCTCTCTCTTTCTCCCTCTCTCCCTCCCGCTCTATCTGAAGATAAGTGCAAAAATGTCCTCGGGTGTGGATCAAAAAAAAAAAAGAGAGAGAGAGAAAAATGTAAAAGACAGCCAGTGGTGATTACAATAAGTGCTGACTTTATCATTCTTTTAAAGACTGTACATAGATATTTTATGTATTCTTCTGTACCTCTCCTTGAATCAGAAGTGGAACAGGAACACAGAGACATAGTGAGCAAAAGCTAAGGTCTGGATGGACTCCCACCAGGTAGAAGCAGGTAGAGGCTACTCAAAGTATGGCTTCTGAGAAGGTAACAGAGAATAAATGTTCTCCATGCATGCCGAGTGACTTGGAGGCAACATGACCAAGCAGGTAGCAGACATTTTGGCGGGATTTACTAGCACCATGAGGCAGGAGCCGAGAGCTCCGATATTCTAGCTGGCTCTGGACTGGGAGCCACAAAAACCAGATAGAAGAAAAGTAAATCACTAAACAGAAAGAAGAGTGAGAAGACAGAGAAAGAAAAAGAAGGAAAACAATTTTCTACTGAAATCTTCAAACTAAATTTTCAAAACATATAAAGGAAAATATTTCTAAGAAAGACTGGCAACAAAATAAATAATAAAAAAGTGAAGTCACCTTAGACAAAGGAAAGCAGTAGAAGAATCTACAGGAAAAGTGGAATAAGAAAAAAGAGGTTATTTCCTGGCTAAGAAAAAGATGGGTTGATAGAAAGCAAAATGTTTTTATAAAACAACAATGAGATACCACTATACACCTATTAGAAAAGTTGAAATCCAGAATATTAACAACAACAAATGCTGGTGAGGATATGGAGCAACAGAAACTCTCATCCTTTGCCAGTAGAAATGCAAAATGGTACAGCCACTTTGGAAGATAGTTTAGTAATTTCTTATATAACTAAGTATGCTCTTACCATTGATCTGGCAATCATGTTCCTTGGTATTTATTTGCTCAAAGGAGTTGAAATCTTATGTCCACACAAAAACCTGCACATGAATGTTTATAGAAGCTTTATTCATAATTGCCAAAAAAACAAAAAAAAACTGGAAGCAACCAGGAGGTCCCTTAGTAGGTGAATGAATACATAAACTTGGTACATTCAGATCATGGAATGTTATTCAACAGTGGGAAAAAAAAAAAAAAAAAAAAAGTGCTATCAAGCCATGAAAAGAAAAGAAATAGAGGAAGCTTCAATGCATATTACTAAGTGAAAGAAGCCAATCTGAAAGGGCTACATACTGTATGATTCCAAATATATGACATTCTAGAAAAGGCACAACTACAGAGACAATAAAATAAATAAATAAATCAGTAGTTGCCAGAGGTTAGAGGGTAGGGTGGGATGAATAGTCAGAGCACAGAGGATTTTTAGAGCAGTGAAATTATACGATAATGTTGGATACCTGTCATTATACATTTATCCAAACCCATAGAATGTACAACACCAAGAGTGAACCCTAATGTAAACTATGGACACTGGGTAATAATCATGTCAATCTAAGTTCATTAGTTGTAACAAATGTACTACTCAGGTGTGGGATGTTGTAGTGGGAGAGGCTATGCATGTGTGTGGGCAGGGGCTGTATGAGAAATCACTGAATCTTCTGCTCAATATTGCTGTAAACCTAAAGCAGCTCTAGAATATAGTCTGTTTTTGTTTGTTTTAGAGAGAGTGAAAGGTAGGGAGGGAGAGAGAGAGAGAAACATCGATGTGAGAGAGATACATCGACTGGTTGCCTCCCACATAACCCCGACCAGGGCCGGGGATCAAACCTGCCACCTAGATATGTGCCCTTGACCAGATATAAACCCAAGACCCTTTGGCCCACAGGCTGATGCTCTAACCACTGAGCCAAACTGGCCAGGCAAAATAGTCTGTTTTGTAAAATGTAGGGTTCAAATGAAATAGTGATGAGTCATGGAGTTCAAACCACTACTCTGGTACTAACTGTGAAAAAAACACCAAACATACCTTGTCACCTACAGAATGATTTTGTGTCTTCCTGAACGTGATTATTGCACAACTTCCAAAGTCCAACTCAAGTCCTGTCTCCTGAACGGAGATTTCTTTAACTAATATCAGTCCTAAATGTTCTCTCTTCTCCCTTGATCTTTTGTTTTCTAATTATTGTCTATGTTGTTTATTCTGATTTAGATTACAAACTATTGAAGGCATAACTTTGTCTTATATGTGTTTGTGTTCTTCATATGCAAAATCAGGACTTATTTTGTTGCCTCATGGGTTTGAATTTGGGTGATGAGTTCTGAACCTCAGTTGCTTCATCTGTAGGTTAGGACTTAATAATGACACTGAAGGTTTGTTGTAAAGAGTAAGTATGCTTCAACCTGTAAAAAGATCAAATATAAACTTTAGTGAATAGACTGGCTCATTAGGAGTATAGATTAGAATTGTTTATTCCCTTCTAATAATATTTTCAGTTAAAAAAACAAAATGTCAACTACTAAAGTCCCTAGTTCTTTTCCTGCTACATGTAAACTAATCTTCCGGTTTATACTTGTTCAGTTTGTCTTCCTCTCCACATCTCTTTTCCTCAACTTGTCAACTTAATTACTTGGTCACTGCCTCTGTGACTAAAGACAAAATAGGAATTTAATTCCTGTTATCTGAAGAGTCAGCCTCTGCCTCCCCTACATTGGGACTGATGAGAAGTTAACAAATAGTCCTATCTTGAAATGTCAGAATGACCTTTTTAAAGAAAGCCATCAAGTCATACACGAGTGCATTCTCACTGTGGCAATGGGAATTTTAAACCCTTGGGGACTGGACCAAACCAGTCCCTGCAGCCCTTCCATGTCTCATCTCTGCAGATCAACAGGGAGTCTGAAACCCTGCTCTGAGCTCTGTGGCAGCAGCTGCCTGTGTCTCCCGAATCAGCCAGGAGGGTGTGATGATGTCACACCTCACTGATGAGCAAGTGCTGCAGCAGAAGGGATCCGATGGAGGGTCTTTCAGCCAGGTCATTTCTCTTGTGGACTTAATAACAACTAGACAGATTTGCCTCCTGGGGAAGTGGGAAAGAATTGTTTTTAGGTCCCCAAAGCAAAGAATAAGGTAACAGAATGCTATAGGCATCTATTTTAGTCTCATGGCTCTAAACAGTTTCCAGCTGCTGATACAATACCCAGAATCCATGGAGAGCAGAACAGATGACATTACTCTGCTGCTCTGAGAACCTTCTGCAACTCATAGCATTTGATGACTCCTGTGTGGAGCAACCCAGCCTATGATCGCAGGTCGTGTTCAGTTCACTTCAGCTTATAAAACCTTTTACAGAGAGTCACTTTGGGGACTGGTTTCTAT